CTTGCTGTGGTGGCCTAGTAGCTGTTCCCGGATGACTGCTAAAAACTCACCATTGCGTGGGGTGGCTGATGATTGTTGAAAACCCCTAGTGCGTGAATCGGTTGAATTGTTAATTAATCACTGAAACATACTGACCCGTGATACCAATTGACTGTTGGAACTCCTTGCTGATTGAAGCTGCTAAATTACAAAAAGGAAGAAAGAGAAAATAGGGAGCGTGACAGGGCACCCCCGACTTCGATGTCTGCCGGTCGCTGAGGACCTCGGAACGGGCGCGGCGAGTGACAGGCGCCGTAGCCCTTGGCTTCAGCGAACGGTAGGCGCCCCTCCCCGGATTTCCTCACAGCGTTTCTCCTCCCCGTTGGTGCGCTGGCGGCCCGTGAGTGCGCGCGCGACAACGCGCTTCTCCTCCCCGCTGGTGCGCGAGTGGCCCGCGTGTGGGCGCGCGACAGCGCGCTTCTCCTCTCCACTGGTGCACGGGTGGCCTGTATGTGCGCGCGCGACAGCGCGCTTCTCCTACCCGCTCAGACCCGTGGATGCACGGGCATGCTCGATGGTGCGCGAGTGCGCGCGCCCTTCCGCGCAGTTCTTCCCACTCTTGTCCGAGGGCGCGTGAAGCTACGCGGCAGTGCGCACGTCCACGCTTGGCAGTGGACGCACCTACCTCTCCCGGTCCGAGGCGTATGAGCCCGCGCGATGGTGCGCAGGTGCATCCGCCCTATCGCGCGACTCTTCTTGTCCTTCCCACTGGTGCGCGGGGATGCCGGGCGCTGCTCTCAGTGCGCTTCCTCCGCTACCTTCCTCCGTGCTTCTTCTCGTCCATTCCCCTCCCATGAGTCTTCTCCCCATCCGTGCTCTTCCCGTGCCCTTCTCTCCCCGCATCCAAGAAGTGTCGTGCGTCTCTGTCGCCCGTGCGTGTCCCGCATGCCTGGTCCCTCGTGCGCCTCTGTCCTTGCCTGCGACAAGTCCTCCGAACCTGGGCCCTGTTTGGCTTAAGTACTCCGCCGGGCCCCTCCCTCGAGTGTGAGCCTCGGCCTCCTGTGCACTGAGGCTGCGGACACTTGCAGCGCCCCGGTCCCGGGCCTGTGACCGAGCCTGATTGGGCCCTCGAAAAGTTCCGAGCGAAAAGGGCCTTCCTCTCGGGAACTGGGCCCTTTGCAGCGCCCTGGTACCGAGGCTACTCCCGAGCCTGTCTCGGGCCTGCTCGGGCCTAGGCGGTCCCCACGCCTTTGTGGTACCGCCTCTTAGGGAAAATCGAGCAGGGCCTTCTTAGTAAGGTCCGGCCCCGCCACTCACCTCCAATTGCCTGGGCCCCCTCCAGTCTTGAGTATCGGCCCGCCCTTCGTAGTGCCAGTCCATCGCATGGCTGGTAAATGTAGGTGGTCCCTCTGTTCGTGGCGTTGATCCGCCGCATGGTCGGTAAGCCCCGGTCAGGTAGAATGTTGTCACCCAAGGGTCTTGTCACGCCCCCTCATAAAGGAAGTAAAGGGCGGCGTAGGATTGGAGCCGCCCGACAACGGGCAGGTACGATATCGCGGACCACAGGGTGGGGGGGGGATGTTGGCGGGGACGCTGTTGTCGGGGGGGTAGAGGAGCGAGTCCATGCTGATCCGGTGTCGTTGGTTGAGGGCGGTCGACATGCAGAAGACAACGGCGGGGCTGGAGCGAGACAGGAGGCGATCCGTACGCTTGACAGAGGGAGGCACGAGGCGTCGCGGAGCTTGGTGGTTTGCACGGTCGTGCGCCCAGTTGTGCGACATGAGGCACCATTTCCTATAGATCCGATGCGTCCTACAGGTGGTGTCTCCTTGATAGTACAGCGACGTGTAGGCAGGGGCATGTGCGCGCCTCCGATTCCCCCTTTTGCATCGTCTAGGGAGAGGACACAGTCGAGGTATGCGCCGCATCCTCGCGGCACCCTTCCATTTGGCTGTATGATCGCCGAGGAGTTGGAGGCGCATGGCACGATGGATTACACCGGGATAGACACCGGTTGACCAGACTTGTCTTGGGCGCCAGCCAGCCTGAGCCTGCCATCTGGAGGTTCTATTGCAGTGCCCTCTCACGAGGGTTCAGGGCCGCTGTCACCGGGGTCTGCAGATGTCCCGCCGCGCGGCAGTTAGACCCCGAGGTCGGCTGCTCACAGACAACGAGACACGAGCGACCATGGACGAGACACAATGTTGTTCGGTCGCACTGATCGGCCATGGAGCGAGATGATAGGAGTGACATCTGCGAGCGAGGGTCGTCTGCCGGGTTTTAGAGGGGTATCCAGCAGCGGGGGTCGTCAAAATGTTGTAGCGTCGGGGTTTAATGATAGAGGTGGGGAAAGTGGCGACATCCGTGGCGGACGTGAGGGCGCACGGATAGTGATGCAGAGGCGGTGCAGCGACCATTGACGTACGGGTTGTGAGAGGCCTCCATCATTTTAGAGGAGCCCGAGGTGGGTCGACGAGCGAGACAGGCCCGACATGTGCCGATTGATCGATGCCATAAGGGGGAGACTTTAGGAGCAGACAGTCTCCCTATGCGTCGTGAGTCTCGCCGACATGTTGATTTAGCAACCTTCACGTCAGACCTAGCCTAGGCAGGAGAGTTATCATGGACGACGACCCCAACGACCCTCCTAAGCCTTCCCATGCTGGTCGTGGAGAGCAACTACGTCGAGGTCAACAGCGTGGCAGTGGTCGGACACATGGATGAGCTTCCCATCGGTTTGCTAAGCGCTCGCCTTCAGATGAGGATCCTTGACCGTGTACATACGTTCTTTTGAATTGTTTTGTTTTTGTCTTGTGTAGTTGTTTTTTTTTTGTCTTTTGTAGTGTTCACTATGGTTCACTGTTCACACTTCTCTATGTTTGGCACTTAGACATAGGCACTAGGTTCGGTCTTCGACATTATGTGTCAGTTGTTTTTTTCTTTTGTTTTTAGCGACATTGATTTGTGTATTTTTTGTTCTGTTCCTTTTTTTTTTTTTTTAGTCACAGGACCATAGCTTTTTTCCGTCACCAGCATAGTAGTTTGGGATTTTACGTAGATGACGCGAACGTTTAGGGATTTTTTTATGTCGTTTGGATCCAGGTTCTCCGTCACGAGTAGTTGTTTGACTCTATGTGACAGATGCATTTTGGCATGATTTTGTTATTATCCATGCTACACTTCTTTTTGTTTCGGTTTAGACATTGTCTCGGCATTTGTGGTGTTCGTGTTTTGTGGATGATGAGTGTCAAATGTATTGGTTTATGTTTTTCCACTTTCTCATTGTATGTTTCTGAGGCATTTTGAGGCATTCTCCCAAAAAAGGTGTATCCTCCCATATTCTATCACAAGAGGCATTCTCAGTTTTGCACATTTGGTGAGCAGTGGAGCGAGGCCCTACAACCGTGGGTTTGCGATGGGCAACGCAGGGTATGTAATGCTTGGGTTTGCGATGGGAAGCGCAACGCATGTATATCAAGTTTCGGGGATGGAAATGCAAGCGGTTTATGTGCAGGTGCAAGGCGACGAACTACCTGCATCAAGGGAATTTCGAGAGAGAGAGAGCGAGAGAGAAGAAGGTGTGCTGAAATGGGAATTATTTTCTTTGTATCTTCTGTGTAATTTTGATCTCAGGCTTCGACCATTATCGATTGCGACACTTGTGGTCCTTTGTGGACTTTCCTGTCTTTTCTTCGATTGATGTTTGGAGCATCTTTACCTCCCCCCCCCCCTCTCTTCTTCGTTTTGATTGCATAAAGGATTGTTGATCGTATAAACGAGGGCGCAAAAAATAAACGCCTTGCTAATGTATGAAAATATGTATGTGGTTCCTTCCACTTTTGAAATGACTATATCTTTGTGGTGATCGGATGTGTGGTCGAGCTGTCCCCCGCAAACCAACCTGGATCAGGGCCATATGCATGTAGAACGGGCAAGTTGCGATCTGTGTATATGTCTAAGTGTGGGTTGTATTTTTCCAAGGCATGAATTGCACGCAATTGATGTCTGATGCATAGGAATGAAGGTTCACTTCTCTCTTAATGACAGTCGAATGGTCGTCTGACCTATCTAACTCAATTTGGATTTGGTGGGAATAGATTGAGTGCACGCATGTATAGTAGCGATCGCCAGACGACAGTCGTCGCGTATATGCATGTGTTTCATTCAGGATCACGGACCATGCCAGTTTGAGGAACCATGAGTACAGAGAATACTGGGAGAACGAGCAACTCTTCCACCGATCGAACTTCCGACTTCCAGGTTACCCCTGTCAAACGGAGGATGAACGGTTGTGTGCTTGGGACTTTCACCAAGCCCTTGGATGGAATTCCCGAACCCCAGATTACCTTGACCCCTGTAATTATCAGCATCATCTTACACCGGGATTCGTCGGCATTGAAACTTCCCTCTGTTCTATCTCCTCCTCCCCTAGCATCGTCTGACGGTAGTTCCCTGGGATTCGATCGCGCACTGCTGGCCCTGTAGGCCGTGTTTTGATTGCTATCAGTACAACACTTACCGGGCAGCGGGATTCGTACGACGGACCCGCTCTGAAGCTGAGCACCGAGAACACAGTCTCCAGTTGAGGTCGTCCACGTCGGACTCGGAGATTTGTGAAACCCGTCGGCGATAGGTGTTTGAACATACCGACACCCTTTGTGTTGACGCAGGGTAATTGGTAGATAGTGCCCATGCCAAAACCTTTTTCGTTTTGCCCACCCACAGTTTGGACATTTGGTACTACCAGCCCAATGTCTTCCGTGTGAGGTATTACAGGCCCACGGATCACTCCAAGGGATCGTGACTTTGGCTGGCAGGGCGCACAAAGGACCTGACAACAAGAAACAAAATAGGAAAACGACCTGTTTCATGTTTCTCACTTCCTGGCCAGATACATTCCTCAAAGCACTGGTGACCTGAGGGCCTTCCGGAGGTACGTGGATTCGAAGTTCCTCGTTTCTTTACTTTTTTTTTTCTTCTTTTTCTTTTTTCTTTTTTTGGCCTCCATCCCTGCCCCGAGCCCCCCACTTCTTCGGAGTAGGCTACACTTGAGACTTCCTGTTTGCCTGTGAAGGGTAGTGCCTGCGTGGCCAATCTGAGGTGTGGCCGAGACATCTCGGCCGTGGCTAGCCTGGGGTGTGGCCGAGACATCTGGGCCGTGGCCAGTCTGGGGTGTGGCCGAGACATCTCGGCCGTGTCCCAACCATGGGGCTGTTCTTTTCTTTTTCTTTTTTTCTTTTTTTTCCAGCCGCAGAGCGGCATGGCACGTTGCGGCACACAACCGGAATTTTTTTTTAATTATTATTTTTTTTTCCAGCCACAGAGCGGCATGGCACGTTGCGGCACTCAACCGGAAAAAAAAAAAACAAAAAAAAACGAAGAAAGAAAGAAACGGGCTGCGCCGCACGACTGAAAAAAAAAAAAAAAAAAAAAAAAAAAAAAAAAAAAAAAAAAA